AGGCAAAAACACCCCAATGACAGCAGAACATGTTTAGTAGCTGCTGAACAATGACTAACTGGGGCTGGAAGGAAAAACTGGGGGATGGGGGGGTTAAGGAAATTAAATGGAGTTTTCCTGAAAAGGGCACAGTTGGATGGCATCCTGAAAAGGAGCACTCCACGCATTTTCTTCCAGGTCCTATGTGTTTGTTGACTGTCTCAAATAGCAGCACTTCTGCAGAAATGAGTCATGGCCTTTAGAAAGTAACAAATTAATCAATTCAATTAATAGTGACAACAGCTTTTGCATTCTACCATAACTTTTTCCAAAAATGTTCTTCCACAGGGGGAAAATATTTTTGCCAAAATCACCCCTCCCTCTAGCAAGCAATCTAATCGTACATTTGTTGCAAATTACTCTGCTGATTTCATTCCCTTCACTCAGCCAGAAAGGGGAAAGGTCTCTCCTTTGTTAGGTAAAGGTAAAGGGACCCCTGACCGTTAGGTCCAGTCATGGCCGACTCTGGGGTTGCGGCGCTCATCTCGCTTTACTGGCCGAGGGAGCCGGCATACAGCTTCCAGGTCATGTGGCCAGCATGACTAAGCCGCTTCTGGTGAACCAGAGCAGTGCACGGAAACGCCGTTTACCTTCCCGCCGGAGCGGTACCTATTTATCTACTTGCACTTTGACATGCTTTCAAACTGCTAGGTTGGCAGCAGCAGGGACCGAGCAACGGGAGCTCACCCCATTGCAGGGATTTGAACCGTCGACCTTCTGATTGGCAAGCCCTAGGCTCTGTGGTTTAACCCACAGCACCACCCGTGTCCTCCTCTCCTTTGTTACTTTTCATCAAACAGTAAGACAAGCAGTGGGTAAAGGTTATGAAATAGCCATTTATAATTAACAATCCTGGAGTGACTCCCGTGACCATATCAAACAAGAAAATACGACACATATCATATTTGGAATCTGGGTGACCATAACAGAAGAAATCACCTACAAGCGGATTGTGAACATGGAACATTTACACTGTTTATGCAGTTATGGGAATTGGTGCCAGGGATGGTGGCCTTCAACAGATAGGTCCCCAAAGCAGTTCCCCCTGGCCTGGTGCCTTCCAGATGTTTTGGACCACAGCTCCCATCAGCCTCAGTCAGCGTAGCCATCAGTCAAGGATGGAGGGACATGCATCCCAAAACATCTGGATGGAAGGACACCAGGAAATGCTTCTCATGTCACATCACACATGCCCCTGGTTTTTGAAGAGGCCTTCTTCAAAAAACTGTGGGATGTGAGAGCCTACAGCTATGAGGCATTTCACAGCAGTGGCGTAACGTGGGTTTCTAGCACCCGGGGCTGGGAGGGAGGGAAACAGATAGAGTACACATGCACATTCAACTATCTAACAGCATCCCCAGGAGATTGCAACCACAGAGATAATAAAAGAATAGTTGTTCCATTGTCTGGAAAGGCCACTTCCTGGTTTGCATGAAGAAGCTGTTTTCAACGAAGCCCAGCGATGTATTTGCGTAGCTGTATTGAGGCAGCACCAGGTGTTGAAACTTTCCACCCCTAACCATTTTTGGCGCCCCTGTGGCCCCACCCCACGCCATGCCACTGTTTCCCAGAGCAACGCAAGAAGTGCCACCATCTTGGGCTGTGGAAGAGGAAGGTTACAGACCTGGCTGGTGTGCTGTGCTGTGCAGGGTGCCTCTGGGATGGGGCGATGTTTGCTCACAAGCAGCCGATGGAGCCCAAGGCTGAGTGGAATCCATCCAGGCAGGAGAGGAGGAAAGGCAGGAAGCAAAAGGCACGGACAAGGCGAGGAGGCAGGGCAAGGCAAGGCAAGGCAGACAAGCTAGGATCACAAGGCAGGAACACGGTGTGAGCAGCAGTTAAGCAGGACTCCTCAAATGGCCAAGGGCTAGCAGGTGAGAGCAGGAAGCTGACACGTGACTTGACTCTAGCCAATCAGGGGCAGAGGGAGATGGGCCTCCATCGCCCTTTCCTTCTCTGTCTCCCAATTCTTCCCCCCCCCAAGCCAGACCCAAGTGGTGACACATAGAGCAGCCGTGTTCTGGCCTAGGAAATGTTTGGCCTTTTGCTCAAGTCCTCTCCTGGGTCTGATGCCTGCCATGAAGGGCCACTGTACCTGTCATTCAGTGGCAAAATATAATAATATAATAAATTTTATTTATACCCCGCCCTCCCCAGCCAAGACGGGGCTCAGGGCGGCTAACACCAGGTATAAAAACAATTGATTAAAATACAACTTAAAAACAAGATTTAAATAAGATGAAAAGATGAAAGCCATTTATGCACAACTAAGTGTGTGTGTGTGTGTGTGTGCGCGCACATCCTAAAAATGTACCTAGCTATGAGGGCCCAGTGACATCTCTGTGGTTGTTTCATTCCTTGCTCATGGTAAATGGATCATCTGGCTCATTTGGAATAAAAAATTAATAATATTTATTTATTTATTTGTTTGTTTGTTTATTTATTTATTTATTTATTTCCTTGCCCATTTGGCTGGGCTTCCACAGCACCTCTGGGTGCCTTCCAACACATATAAAAACATAATAAATTGTCAAGCATTAAAAACTGTGGGGTGTTTTTAATGTTTCTTTAAAAATAATTTTTTTTAATGATAGGCAGGCCTCAGATTGTCTTCCTGTCCCCTAGGGGTCTCTTCGGAAAGTGAACTGCCTTGAATAGTGGATGGTTCAGTAGTTCAGACTTTAAAAGGCCTAAGCTTACAGACCTCCCAAGTGTCCCTGTTTTCCAGGGACAGTCCGGGATTTACAAAAGCCATCCCGGTTTCTGTTTTGATACTGGAATGTCCCACTTTCCCTTAGGATGTCCTTGTTTTCATTGGGTAAATGTTGGAGGTTATGATAGGATGTCCCTATATTAATCAGAAAAATGTTGGAGGGCCTGGAGTTATGAGACCATTGAGTCAAGGAGATAAGTAACTATACAACCTTTAAAAGACGTCTGAAGACAGCCATGTCCAGGGAAGTTTTTTTAAATGTTCAGTGTTTTATTACATTTTTACATATGTTGGAAACTGCCCTGAGTGACTGGGGCAATCCAGTCAGATGGGTGGGATATAATAATAATAATAATAATAATAATAATAGAATAAAGTAAAGGTAAAGGGACCCCTGACCATTAGGTCCAGTCATGACTGACCCTGGGGTTGCGGTGCTCATCTCGCTTTATTGGCCGAGGGAGCCGGCGTACAGCTTCCAGGTCATGTGGCCAGCATGACTAAGCTGCTTCTGGTGAACCAGAGCAGCGCACGGAAACACTGTTTACCTTCCCGCCAGAGCGGTACCTATTTATCTACTTGCAGTTTGAGGTGCTTTTGAACTGCTAGGTTGGCAGGAGCAGGGACCGAGCAACGGGAGCTCACCCCGCCGCGGGGATTCGAACCGCCGACCTTCTGATTGCCGAGTCCTAGGCTCTGTGGTTTAACCCACAGCGCCACCCGTGTCCCTAATAATAGAATAGGACGTCCCTATTTTTATCAGAGAAATGTTGGAGGGTATGAGCTTATCCTGCCAGTTTTAGAGTTGGTCACTCATCCTTCTCAGACAGGTTGACAGGAGGGAGATTTTTGTCCGTGCACACACACACACACACACACACACACACACACACAGAAACAACATATAAAGCAGGTCACAGGGTGGTTGCTGTGCATCATGGGTGCCTGGAGTGAAGACACTTTTCAGCTATCCACACATTCCGGGCTGGGAAGCAATGGCTGGCAAAGTGGCACAAATGTGCCTTCTTCCCTGTTTATCCCAGTCACTGGGAGAGCTTTGCATACGTCAGGCCTGCTCTTATCACTTAGTTTTGCTAGGTGTGTTATTAAAGAGCACCTTGTGTGTGGGACACGCCATCGCGGCTCAGGCATGGTGTTGCTGCAAGATACCAAACAATGAAAAACAACGACGAGGGTGCTTTTTTGGGGAGAGGCATGGCCTATACTGAATACATCATGGCAGGAGCAGAAATAAGCCAATTAGAAAACCATTTAGCAAAAATAATATGTGCTTGAGGGGGCTTACACATGGCATGTGCATAAAAATCTAGGGTGCTGCTTCCGTTAAGGAAAAGGAGATTTACGAGGGGGCAAATTTTGGTAGACGTTTCAGCATGTGTGTGTGATGGAAAGTGGAACAATTTTTAGCTGCTTAATGGAACTTCCCCTCCCTTCTCACCCCCTTCTCACCCGCACTTCCTTTGAATTTGCTCCAGACAGCTGGGGAGTTGGGTAGGGTGGCTGAGCAGGGGAAGGAGACGGCGCTCCATTGTGCACAAGTGGAAGTTGTTCCATGCATGTAATGACTTAAAGGAAGGTAAAGGGACCCCTGACAATTAGGTCCAGTCGCAGACGACTCTGGGGTTGCGGCGCTCATCTTGCTTTATTGGCCAAGGGAGCCAGCGTACAGATTCTGGGTCATGTGGCCAGCATGACTAATCCGCTTCTGGTGAACCAGAGCAGAGCACAGAAACGCCGTTTACCTTCCTGCCGGAGCGGTACCTATTTATCTACATGCACTTTGATGTGCTTTCAAACTGCTAGGTGGGCAGGAGCAGAGACCGAGCAACGGGAGCTCACCCTGTCGCGGGGATTCAAACCACTGACCTTCTGATCGGCAAGCACTAGGCTCAGTGGTTTAGACCACAGCGCCACCTGCGGCCCTATTTAATGACTTGGTCAGATACAACCCCCAGTTCCTGTTCCCCCAACACACAGAGGGCTGTTTGTCTTCTTGTGGGGCTCCAGGTAGATATTTGCAGGGGTAAATATGCACCTGGAATGTTATTGGGGGGGGGAAGCAGTTTGCGGGTGGCGATTGCAGTGGGAAAGGGCTGGGCAATGGGTAAGGTTAAGCAGCCCTTTCTTCAGTAGAAGTATCCATCATAAGTTACCTTAGGTCTTAGTCTGAATGGCCTTCCTTTCACCTATTCTCTGGCAAGAGACCTCCTCTTTTAGGGGAAGGGTCACAGCTCAGTGGCAGAGCATCCGCTCTGGATGCAGAAGGTCCCAGGTCGAATCCTGGCATCTCTAAATAGGACTGGGAGAGATTCCTGCCTAAATTCCTAGACAGCTGCTGTCAGTCCGTATGCAATACTGAGAGTTGAGAGACCAATGGCTCAGTATAAAGCAGCTTCCTCTGTCTTCTGTCCTGCTGCTGGGCTCTGTTTCTCTCTTTGTAATTTTACGCAGACGATGCCAGAGCGAGGGCTAAAGACCCATCTGTCCACCCAGGCATTTGTGAGGGTTTGTGAGTGGTATCTGACTGGTCTGCTATGGATTACAGTGGTGCCCCGCAAGACGAACGCCTCGCAAGACGAAAAACTCGCAAGACAAAAGGTTTTTTCGTTTTCGAGTTGCTTCGCAAGACGAATTTCCCTATGGGCTTGCTTCGCAAGACGAAAACGTCTTGCAAGTTTGTTTCCTTTTTCGTAAAACCGTTAATACCCAGGGTGCATTGCTGGAAGAGGTGCAGTTGCGACTTGACTTCGAGGAGCAACACATTGCACTGCGGTGTGGTGGCCTTTTGAGCTTTTTAAAGAGTTTGCTGAATTTTTGAAGCTTTTCCAAAACTTCTTTTGCAGCTGTTTGGTAAGTTAAACTTTTAAAACTTTTTTGGGGGTTTTTGGATTTTGGGTTGGGGTGTTTAGAATTCAAGGACTTGGTGTTGGGGAGAGGTTTGCAAGAATCTGGGAGCTTGTGTGGTTTTTTCCTGCATTTTTATGATTTTCTGTGACGATTGGGCCATGTTTATTTTTTTCAATGCATTCCTATGGGAAACCGTGCTTCGCAAGACGAAAAATTCGCCAGACGAAAAAACTCGCGGAACGAATTAATTTCATCTTGCGAGGCACCACTGTATAATGCATTCCATTGTATTTTCATGTGTTGATTTTATTGGAATGGCATTGTACGTATTGCTTTGTTGTGTGCCTCCCTAGTATTACTGATGAGGAGTGGTACAGAAACGTTTTCAATAAATAAACGCACACACAAATTTTAAGTAAACAAGTGTGTGTGTGTGTGTGTGTGTGTGTGTTGGTGCCTAAGGCAGAAAATGTGTCTGATGCTGCCAATGGTAAATATATAATAACAGACAAAATAATTGACAATGTGCTGCACTTTGATGGTACTACGCACACACACACACACACACACACACACACACACACACACAGAGAGATGCATAGCGATAAGGCAAGTGGAAGTCCTGTCTGTGCTCATTCTTTTTCTTCTGTTTCATGAGTAGGGGCTGACGATGGAAAGGGGAAGAATTGGACAGAAACTTTCCAATGTTTATTACTGTCCTTTCCACGGGGTCAACCACCTGTGCTGGGATTGGGTTAATCTAGGCTGTGTGCTCTGACTGGCTGGCAACATGGAAGGACTCCTCCTCCATGTTTCTAATGGATCTAGGAAGAGCCTCATGAGGCACCAACTTCATCAGCTGCAATGGTGGCAACAGGGGTGAGAGGAAAGGAATGGAGAAAAGGAAGGAAAATAGCAGGAACAGCACAGAGTTCTAGGACTGGGTGAGGGATGGTGTAGAGAACCAGACACTTCTGTCCAGGACAGCCATAGATTTGGTATACTGAGCAGGTTCTGGGTCCTACCACCAACTTCTGTTGGTACAACTACCATCATCCCTGGCCACTGACCCTTCTGGCTGAGGCTATTGGGAACTAGAGTCTAATAATACCCATAAAAGGTAAACGACCCCTGACAGTTAAGTCCAGTCGCGGACGACTCTGGGGTTGCGGCACTCATCTGGCCAAGGGAGCAGGCGTTTGTCCGCAAACAGTTTTTCTGGGTCCTGTGGCCAGCATGACTAAGCCGCTTTTGGTGAAACCAGAGCAGCACACGGAAATGCCATTTACCTTCCCACCGGAGCGGTACCTATTTATCTACTTGCACTTTGACGTGCTTTCGAACTGCTAGGTTGGCAGGAGCTAGGACAGAGCAATGGGAGCTCACCCTGTTGCGGGGATTCAAACCGCCCATCTTCCAATCGGCAAGCCCTAGGCTCTGTGGTTTAACCCACAGCTCTGTGGTTTAACCCATAGGACCACAGATTTCTCACCCCCAATGTAGTGATATCTGGAACCCCATAAATAGGTGTAACATCCTGGTGTTTAGGCCAGTTTCCTGATGATGCAGTCTTTGATTTAATTTGCTACCACCATCTGCTGGGCTTCATTGCACAGAAAGCCAGATGTCAGTACTTGTACAGTGGTACCTCGGGTTACATACGCTTCAGGTTACATACGCTTCAGGTTACAGACTCCGCTAACCCAGAAATAGTGCTTCAGGTTAAGAACTTTGCTTCAGGATGAGAACAGAAATCGTGCTCTGGCGGCATGGCAGCAGCGGGAGACCCCATTAACTAAAGTGGTGCTTCAGGTTAAGAACAGTTTCAGGTTAAGTACGGACCTCCGGAATGAATTAAGTACTTAACCCGAGGTACCACTGTATAGTAAAGGTCTGCCCTCATTTAAGTAACCATTCTCAAACATGCCTAGAGTAGCCAAGTGGCCCTTACGGTAAATCCGATGCCCACAGTTGCAGAAAAAGAGCCTGGTATGAACTTGCCCTGGTCAAACTGAACCAGCAGTGATGTCTTCCCAACTCCGCTGTCTCCAACCAGGATAGTCTGTGGGAATCAGACAAAAAAAAAATCAGGTTAGCGTCCGAATTAAAAGGGCCGAGGCCCCATTTCTCTGTTCTCAGTGTACAAATGCTGGCAGCAGATTAATTGGTAACTTTGTAATACTGGAGAGACGTGGTTAGACATGGGTTTGAGAGCATGACACCCACAGGAATATTTCAGGGGGAGAAGCAAAGTAAATACAGCCGTACCTTGGTTTTCAAACAGCTTAGTTCTTGAACGTTTTGGCTCCTGAACGCTGCAAACCCAGAAGTGAGTGTTCTGGTTTGTGAACATTCTTTTGGAAGCCGAACGACCGACAGGGATTCCGCAGCTTCCAATTGGCTGCAGGAGCTTCCCGCAGCCAGTCAGAAGCCGTGCTTTGGTTTTTGAACGTTTTGGAAGCCGAATGGACTTCTGGAACGGATTCCATTTGGCTTCCAAGGTAAGACTGTGCTCCAAACAAGTAAGTGCACATAACTGACATCTAAAAACAGGCCCTTCATTTCTGATAAATCAGCTGACTTTGCAGCAGTGAGTCCTGGTAGACCTGGCCTCTGAGAACCTTCTGTTCCAAGTCTCTCTCGTTTCTCAGTAGGGTAGATCAGCAGTCCAGCAACAGGAAGACCTAGCATCCAAACAAAGTATTTCTATATTCCACTGCAGCCCTCAATCCTGTCCTTGGCTCCCTTCACTTGTTTGAGCCCTTCCTTAATTGCACTGCATCTACAACCAGCTTCATAGCCCAGCCCCACCTGTTCTTCCATTTAAAAAAAACAAAACCTTTGACAAAATTGCAGACGGAGAGCACAAGATTTCAGTCACGCTGACACTTCTGCTTTTTGCTTCCGACAGCATTATGAGAAAATGAAACTGCTGCAATGGCCAGGGCAGGCGAAGGGAATCGGGGAGAAAGCAGAAGCAGAAGAAGCCTATTCACCCTAACTCATGGGGAGGGGGGAACAAAGCACCATAAAAGAGAAGTAGCCGTGCATTCAAAAGAGCAGGCACAGAAGAAAGGAGATCATGCAAGTCTGCGGCGATGGTCAGCATGCGGCAATGGCACTTCATTGTGGGAATGTTATTCTTCAACCTAAAAGGTGAGCGGTTTGTGTCTGCCTGTTTACCCTGAATGATCAGGGACACACAGGGTAAGATGGGAATTGGGGGTGAACGTGTGATTATTTCTGCAATTTAGAGGCAGCCTGACCCATACACAAGAGATATGTGCCTTCAGAGTTTGCCTTCTGGCAAGATGCAAGGAGTTGGGGTTTACATATTCTGCAACAATGCAAAATATCCAATTTTGCACTGGCTCCATAGCTTAAATTTAAGGAATGTGGGGTGGAATTTCAGAATTTAATGCATTCTGCCAATACCTTCAGGGCAGTGGGGGAGGGGGCTGTTAGGAAAGAAGCTGTGTGGACACAGACTCATTTCTGCAGAGTAAAGAGAGCAATTCCCCCCTTGTCACAAGCTGCTCATCCCTGGTGTGGAGAGAGTGTCTCTCTCTACACACCCGGGATAGGCAGCTCATGACAAGGGGGGAATTGCCCTCATTACTTTGCAGAAATTGGTGTCGTTGACACAGGGCTGAAGAGATTGCACCCTCAGCACGACCATTTCTGTTTGCCTGGTGGAACAACCTGTCCTCTCCGTCCCCTGCGCGCTGTTCCGTGGTTCCCCCAGCCACCCACCCACCCTGAGCCAGTTTGGGGACGAGGCACGAAAAGTGAGGAGAGGAGGGAACGCCCTGCTGCACTACTAGAAGTCCGTGGGTGGATCCAGCCCACTGAACTATCAGAAGTGCCCAGCAGCCCCTACAGCTTTGTCTCCTGAGCTGGTTGGGGGAAACAAAGTGCTCTTTCTGGTCTTTAGAGGACCATCTTTAAATAGCAGTGCTTTATCTCCTGTTCTCAGCGCTGATGAATGACCTGTGCAAAGGAAAGGCAGCATTTCCAGGCACCCCAACCTCAGCGCTGGATTAGGGAAGCATGGAAATGCTGGTTGTGCGTGCATGTGCGTGCACATGCCTGTCTCTGCTTGTGTGCAAGAGTGAGCAACTGTGTGAGTGTAAGATATTGCAGTGCAGTTTCTTGTGGGGAATGTGCATGTGCAAGAATTTTGTGTGTGTGTGTGTGTGAATGAGAGAGAGAGAGAGAGAGAGATTTGCAGGTACACTGTTTGGTGTGCATGCATGTGTGCGCATGTGCACATCCATTAAGCCATGTCTACCGCTGGCATGTGGCATTTGCAAAGTTGGCTGACTATCAATAAAGGTTCTGGGCCCAAAAGGGTTAACTACCCTAGATCTAAAAAAAATGAAGTTTAACACTCATTATCTTTTCAAAAAGAAGATTAAGAATTTCCCAACAATTCATATGATCACCACCTCCTGCCAACTCCTAGGGACTAAGGGGTCTTCACCCCCCCCAATAAAACAGTTGATGGGCATTGCCATTCAAATGGGTGTGTGTGTGCGCACACGCATTGTGTCATGTGATCGATTATGTGGGGCGGGGCTTCCCTGTCCCCCATATTTTATTCAAGTAGGTTGGCACACACACCCCGTAGCAGTGACTTTAGTGTATACCATCAACTCATCAATCATAGACCCCAATATGAATGATTTAGTAACTGTACCTTCCCTGGCCTGATCAGATCCCCCATATTCTGACTGGAGACTTCAGTGGGAGAAGCAAGCTCATGTCCTATAAAAAGGAAAAAATGACTTCCCATGTTGACATATGCTTCATTTTCTTGTTCTACGGACTAACTAATCATTATCGGTGGGTATGCGTCAGGGAAACAGCTGTGCAGAAATCTCTATCCATGCATCCTTATTGCCAAGGCCACAGTTCTGATCCAGCCATGAAGATGTGTAGAGTAATTTTATATTTTTTTCTCTGATACCAGAAGGGTAATATTGGAGAGCTAACGCCTCACTCCAGGTTTATTCTGCTTTTCAGGTTGCATGTCTGATCTGACTGGTCCTAAAGCACTGAGTGGATTTTTGGGCAGGTCACTCTCTGTGAGATGCAGATATGATGCTGGGTTTATGAATTATGTAAAATATTGGTGCAAAGGAAGTCCATGGAGCAGTTGTAAAATAGTTGTTCGGACGACAGGATCTGAAGAAGAAAGGACTGCTAGCAGAGTTTTTATCAAGGATAATCATTCTCGTTTGGAATTCAGAGTCAGACTGGAGAACCTCACACAGGAAGATGCTGGGATTTACTGGTGTGGCATACAAAGAACTGGCTCTGATTATGGATTCCCTGTAAATATTATTGTTCTCCCAGGTGAGTCCTGTTTCCAAGCCCCACAGGAAACCCAAAAGCCAAATACAGCTAAAAGGGGAAGAAAACCTCAGAGGGGGACTACGTTCTGTGCACATTAACCCCAATGGTGGTTACTCCTTGGTAAGCATGCTTAGACTTGCAAATATAAAGGAGAATTGCTACTTTTATACTTTAAAAAATGACAGTCATACAACTCCTCCCCTGTAGCACAAATATTTTGATAATTTCTCACTTTCCAGAATGAGGTTATTTTATCCTTTAAGCAAGGAAATAATGGTAAACGAAACAAATTGTTTTATGTTGTTGTCAGCTGAGATGCCCCAGTTGGTAGACCACGAGTCCCTTAATCTCAGGGTTGTGAGTTCAAGCCTCACATAGGGCAAAAAGATTCCTGCATTGCAAGGGATTGGACAACTCTACAATTCTATGATGCAGGTGCAGTCAAACCTTGGCTGTCGAACTTAATCCGTTTCAGAAGACTGTTCGACAACCGAGGATCAAAGGGCGGTCAGCAAAGTCAATGGAGAAAAAAGAAAAAAAAACCTCCCCAGAAGCCATTCGGCTTCCGAAAATCATTTGAAAACTGGAGCAGTTACTTCTGGGTTTTGGGCATTTGGGAGTCAAAACGTACAATAATGGATGCATTCAGAAGCCGAGGTTTGACTGTATAACATTCACATTAAGGAAATCTATGCTTGCAGAAAATGCTTTCTATTACATTGCAGGATTGATTATCAGCAACATCTCAGTGAGGAAGGGAGGGGGACTTTGTTTTTGACTGCCCAGTGGATACCAGGCTTCCAGATGACCTGTTTATGGAGCATTCATCCTGACGTGCGTTCAGGGAGAATGGATGACCCTGGTTATTTGATGAGAATTCATTCCAATTTGTTCGCAGAGGGGTTAGATGACATCATGTCAAAGCGAGCACCGTCCCACACTTTCCAATTGCATTTTGCCATCACTTTTCCTCATTCCAAAAAGCCAGATCTTTTGGGAGGCAGATTTGTTACATGTGGCCTCCCAGTCAACTATCACTACGCAACCTTAAGTTTGTGCGTATGTGATTAAATCACACCCCAAAATAGTGACTGCCTGGAAGCATCCACAGTCAAGAGGATGCGTAAATAAGACACTAGTGGTTGAAACACTGTCCTGTTCTATTCTCAGATTTTTACTATGGTACGTGCGTCTTGCCAAGATTGTGGAATGTACTGCATGGCATCATAGTGAAAGTTGTTGTAATGCAACTCCTCCTCTGTAGCACAAATATATCTGTGTCAGAAAGGAACCTCCTTAATTCGTAAGATGCACTAGCTCAGTAGTTCATTTACCGGGCTAAAGTTGAGTAGAATTTCCCAGAAACTGAGCAACATGGGCGAGAAAGGGAAGTCTGGGGGAATCCCAGTACTTTGAAGTCACAAGCATCTGAGTAAGATGTTGCGGAGAGAAGCATCTCTCTTATGGTGTGGCTTCAAGGTGTTGTGTGTGTGTTGCCTGCCCCGTGTACTCCTTCTTTGCAAATCTCAAGTGAAGGAGCACAACATTTGAGACTGGTTTTTGGGGTGTGCTTTTTGGAACTAACAGCCCCACTCCCAATGTTCTCTAATGGTTGCTGGTAGGAATATTGTGTACCATGTGCACTAAGACATAGCACTGGTAGCATTCAGTGGAATATTCACAGAGAGCTAACCTACTGACCGGGTGTCTCGTTTCCCCCCCTTATTGGTAAGCATCTGCAGAGATCTCCACATCTGATCAGAGCAACATCCCCGGGGGAAAAAGTTTAAGGCCTCCTTGCCCCTAGGTCCCATTTCATGGATACAAATATGCTCTCCAGAAGCTGCTCTTAATCCTTGTGGAAGTTAATGAGAGTGGTTCACTGTGGGATCTTCCACACTTCTCTTTGTCCTGCAATTTCTTCCTTTTGGTCTTTTCTTTTGTCCCACTGTTTCCCCAGGAAAACCCGCTGAGGACTCACTTCTGCTTGTCTTCTGCATAAAAAGCACAGGTTTTGCCTTTGCCCCGCAGCTTTCTCCTGGGAAAACAGCCCTCTTTAGTGCTAAATCGGAACGAATACAATCTGTGGAAAATCCAGTTGTTGTTTGTTCTGATTCAGCACTAAAGATTGGGTTTCCCCAGGAGGAACAGCAGGGCAAGCTGAAGTGGGGAGTAAGCCCTGAATTGGAACAAAAGTCGATCTGCAGAAAAGCCCAATTGACATTTGCTCTGATTCAGTGGTAACTACAGTGGTACCTCAGGTTACATACACTTCAGGTTACAGACACTTCAGGTTACAGACTCCGCTAACCCAGAAATAGTGCTTCAGGTTAAGAACTTTGCTTCAGGATGAGAACAGAAATCGTGCTCCAGTGGCGCGGTGGCAGCGGGAGGCCCCATTAGCTAAAGTTGTGCTTCAGGTTAAGAACAGTTTCAGGTTAAGTACGGACCTCCGGAATGAATTAAGTACTTAACCTGAGGTACCACTGTACCAAGTTTTCCCTGGAAAAGCAGTAGGACGAAAGAGAGACCTTTCGCACCCATGTCCAGAAGTCACCAACCAAACAGAAATGCAGATGAGCCGTGTGAATCAGGCAAAATGCTCATGATTTGGTAAACATTTTGCAAGGGGGGGGGGGGAGAGAAATGATTTCAGCCTGCTTCTAGCAGCAGACTGACCTGATCCAATATTCGCAGACTTGCTTGCTACTCAGAATGCAGCTCCCAGGAAGATTACACGTGTCTGTGGATTTTGCAATTTCATTTTGGTGCACTAAAAGTGCACATAAAAAGTTAGTTTTCAAGTTAAAAATGACTGTGTACTAAAACATGCATTTTGCATTGAAATGCATTGGAAAAAATCTGTATTTTTCACAAAAAAGCCCATATAGAATGCATATATTTTCAATGTGGACTTCTCTTTCATTCCTTCAAAAGATCTGCACAAAATGAGATGGAGCAGGACTATAACTGAGCACCAGCTAAACTGAAACAGGATGGAATTAGGCTGCTGAGTCCATCCTTAATCACCCCGCCCCCTACACTTCCTCCCTCAAACTATTTCAGCTGTTGCATGCCTCTTAATGCTAATATTCTATAGAGGAGTGAAAAGTGACCTATGTGCAAATTTAGATATTAAGCTTGCCCTCAAAATTCAAACATTCCAGCTGTTGAGGAAGGAGAACAACTGTATATTAGTGATCACAACGTAGAGCCTTTTCTGCCACCTTCTCCAGTTCCCGGCGGCAGGTAGACTTAACAAAAAATCCTGAATGTTTTCCTAATCACAGGTGACTCATGAAGTTTTGTTTTGTCGACACTTGCTGATTTTATTAATGGTGCTGCTTTTTTTGTTGTTCCATTTTTTCATGTTTTTAAAAATTAACTATAGTTCAATATATTTTTTAGAATACTTTCACAAACCAACCAATCCACAAGCAAACAAACACACAAGCTCTCTCAGTGTTGCAGAATGCCACAGAATATAAAATGCAGAAAAATTCGTGCTAGCTAGCTACTTATGTGAAGGAAACAAGCGGTTTAGATGGTGCAAGGGGAAGGAAGCAGCAGAACATACTGGGCAGCTGCAGCCACAGTGGAAGAACAGACAGCTTTCCTGGAGCTGAGTATGTTTGCACAAAACTGGTTGGAAAGGGCTGTGAAGCAGCCATGCAGCAAGAAACCTAAAGAGTTATTAGGTGTACCTGAAACACTTCTCTTTGTTTCCGGTGAGCAACTCATATTTCCCCCCTCCACGACATACTGCTTTTATGAAATATTAATATTCTTTTCATGATATCTATTTAACATTATTTTTTAAAAAAACAAGAACAGAACACCAGAGTTGCTTTCATCAGTGCCTTTTTTTAAAGACACCAAGAGAACCGGGGTAGAATGTCCATTTGAAGCTCCTCCCTGCCTTTTCCTTCTCACAGCACCTTGTGGCCCTCCATGCCTGGGGGGCCCTCTGAGAAGGTGAGCACTGGCGGAGGAATAGGGGTGTGGGGGGTGCAGTCCACCCCGGGTTTCTTCCCTGGGGGGGTGACATTGCTGTGCCACCTCCAGGACACTGGCCCCGCGGGCAGCTAGCTCCGCCCCTGAGTGCACAGCATGTGTGCCGCTCCAGGTGCCAGAGCAGCTAGTCCCGCCTCTGAAGGCGAGGAGCGTGGCAAGGAGCGAATGAGCTTTCTCAGGGGGGTCTCCTCTTTTGTGGAATGTGCTCCTCAGGAAAACACGCCTGTGGCACAATGCATTGGACAAGACACTCCTGTTTGCTCAGAATTCTGGTCTTTTAACTTAAGATTGCACAGCAATATAATTTGTGGCCTCTTTGTGCTCATCTCTTAGTGGAGTTGAGTAGAACCCCTCTTTATTGTTGTTGTTATTAAATTATTATTATTATTATTATTATTATTATTATTATTATTACTACTACTACTACTATTAACATCTGTTAGTCACTTTATCTTGCCCAAGGCAACTCAGAGCAACTTACAACCAAAAAAATCTAGGCAGCTTGCATTGCATAAAAGGTATGTCACAAAATCGGTGAACACAGGGTGTCCGTGTGGGTAGGAAGTGCCTTTAAGATACAACCTCTCACCTCAAGAGATTTGACTTGTAGAGCTCTGCAGGTTGCTAAGGTTGTTCAGTTGTTGTTGACTTACCAACTCTTGGAATCTTTATTTTATGGTGTTTCATTCTGTGTATTTAGTTTGAAATTATTCAGAGGATGTTTGATATGCTATATATTTGTTAGTCACTTAGGAAAGTGTGTGGTTGTTGTTGTATTTTTGGTAGAAAGTAATGAATAAATGCAATGAATAATGACAGTACCTACTCAGAAGCAAGCCCTCACTGAGTCTCTGCTCACTTACCTGGGAGTAAGCCTCCCTGAATTCAGTGGGACTTACTTCTGCGTACATATGACTGCAGTATTAATGAAACTTATCCACGGTTGTATATTTCTAATTTTTTATGATTACTCCAAGATTATATTTTCTATCTTGTGTTGAATAAGAACACAATGCATGAAAACGAACACTGACTGATAGAATTCCAAAGTACGCGCCCCCCCCCCACTTTGGCCTAATGTCCCTAGTGTTACTTTTCCATACAGAAGGAGAGGGTTGTGAGTGTTGTTTACTCTGTTCTTTTCAGGTCCTTACTCTGGATTACCCATCATCAGTAATAGTACAGTGAGTGGACCCGTGGGTGGGTCGTTATCTGTCATATGCCGTTATTCAGAAGCATATGAATCCTATCTGAAATTCTGGTGCAAGGATCTGAAATACCAGTGCAAGAAAATTATTGAAACAACAGAATCATCTTCCCTAGTGAAACAGGACAGATTCTCTATCAATGACAATCGTAGCCTCTGCCTATTTACAATTATTACAGAGAACCTGACTCTGGAGGATATTGGGCAATATCGGTGTGGGGTAAATATACCACTTGGGTTTGAGGATTATTTTCCAGTCACTGTGGTTGTCTTGCAAGGTAAGTTCTTTCCCTGACTTTTTGAGACAGATTTGGAAGTCAATATTCATGTTAGTACAAAAAACAAGAGGTACACGTTACGAGCTAAAAAGCAAAAAGTAGACAAAAGCATGCAAAAGGCTGATTCGAAAATTTAATTTATGTGAATAGTAGTGTTTTTGGCATCAGATGCTCATGAGCAAAAAACAGATGGGGTAGCTAGCATAAAGTTTTGTTGTTGTTGTTGTTTAGTCGTGTCCGACTCTTCGTGACCCCATGGACCAGAGCACGCCAGGCACTCCTGTCTTCCACTGCCTCCCGCAGTTTGGTCAAACTCATGCCGGTAGCTTCGAGAACACTGTCCAACCATCTCGTCCTCTGTCGTCCCCTTCTCCTTGTGCCCTCCATCTTTCCCAGCATCAGGGTCTTTTCCAGGGAGGCTTCTCTTCTCATGAGGTGGCCAAAGTATTGGAGCCTCAGCTTCAGGATCTGTCCTTCCAGTGAGCACTCAGGGCTGATTTCCTTAAGAATGGATAGGTTTGATCTTCTTGCAGTCCATGGGACTCTCAAGAGTCTCCTCCAGCACCATAATTCAAAAACATCAATTCTTCGGCGATCAGCCTTCTTTATGGTCCAGCTCTCACTTCCATACATCACTACTGGGAAAACCATAGCTTTTACTATATGGACCTTTGTCAGCAAGGTGATGTCTCTGCTTTTTAAGATGCTAAGTTTGTCATTGCTTTTCTCCCAAGAAGCAGGCGTCTTTTAATTTTGTGGCTGCTGTCACCATCTGCAGTGATCATGGAGCCCAAGAAAGTAAAATCTCTCACTGCCTCCATTTCTTCCCCTTCTATTTGCCGGGAGGTGATGGGACCAGATTCCAAATACATTCTTCATCATTGTACATACATATTGCATAAAGGGGACCAGGAAAGATTTTCTTCAGTGAGGCTTGTATGATCATAAGATTGTAATATGTATATACACTGATGAAGGATGTATTTGAAAACGGGTGCCTTATGCTAGCTACCCCGTCTGTTTTTTGCTCATTATCATTTCATGCTGAAAACACTCATATTCATGTTAGGGCATTGGGTACCAGAGGAGGGGGCCCAAGAACTGGCCCTCCCCACTTTTCCATTGCTATTCTCTGGATACAATGATTTTGCATTCAGTGGCTCAGGGCACTGATCCCACCTAATACAGTTGGTTCAAATGTTCAGGAAAAGGACATTTTGCATTCATCCCAGGCCAACAGGCAGGAACTGCAGAGAAGTAGGAGGCTGTATATTGAAGCAGCAGAAGCCTATGTCGTGTGAGGATGAACAACCTAAGAATGGAAATATACTTTGCAATCCAAAAAATTAAGTACTTGTCACACAACAAGCAACATCCTTTCCCTGCAATCTCAGATTACTGGAATTGCCCGAATGCTGGGGAGGAGCTACAGCTAGACCAGGAAGGTGGCGGCAGATGTGAGGAACACCGGTCGCTCTCTGTTTCCCCAGGAAGTTCTCTTGCTTTCGTTTTGAAGTTCTTGTACAATTCCTCACCTACCAAGCCATAGAAAAGCAAACCTCAGTTGACCACAACTGTGTGTCAGACACATGACCATGGAAAGAGCTCTGCGGTCATAGTTGGAACACATATTGAATGTGGGACCATTGACATTTGCCTTCTGTCTTATTGCAATTGGTATGGGAAACTACTTTACATTATGAACTCCCAGACCAAGTTGGTCCTTGCTCAGTAAATATATGTTGAAACAGTTCACAACAACTTGTTTCACACCGTCTACTCTTCATATTTGAATTCATATTGAGGGTGACAATTGCTCATGCACACCCTCCAACTGTCCCTATTGTAAAGGAACATTCCTGGATTTAAAGAAGTCATCCCGGCTTCTGATTGGATTCTGGAATGTCCCAGGGATAAGTCAGCGCTTGAAGCCAGTGCTGGCACTTGCTGTAGTGCTGCGCTCTTCCATGAGTCAGCTGACTAGGGCCACACTCTGGCATCCCTATTTTCATCAGGGGAATGTCGTAGGGTATGCTAACATTGCTCTGATCTACCACTACTTCCCTCACTTCCGTACCAGCTTCCCTGTAGAGCTTTCTGTCCATTGTGCTTTTTTGATTTTGACTTCAAGCATTGCAGTACATGTGGATACTAGGCCCTGTGACGGGCAAAGATTACAGGTGTTTTATTTTTTCTTCTTCTCAACCTTCTGCTCTGCCACTCTGAGGCTGGTGCCAGCATGAAGGTAGGTTACCTGACTCTGCTTTACCTGTGAGGCTGAGATCTGGGTCAGGAAACCTCATGCAAACAGTTGGCTGTGTGTAATATCAGAGGTTGCACAAGATTCTCCTCGCAATACTGTTCTTACCACAGAAGAGGAACAGCAAACTCATGCTGGTCCCCAGCCCCAGCCATTACACCGCTCACATCAGTAAACGGTTCAAGTAAGCAGCTATTTGCACAGGAAAGCAAGCTGATATATCATCTAACCAGGGCTCCATCCAGACTAAGCTATTTTATGGGCAATATTCAAACACAGACCAGGAAATTTAGGTGGCGCAACCATAGTGAGTTTCATGTTTCTCTGCAGCAAATCCACTCTCCCGACAATTTGACTTTTTGAAGGAAAGAAAATGCACTAGAAAGTGTGCAGTAACACTTAATTTGACTTGACGTCATACAACTTCCCTGCAAAGGATTACGAATGACTGCTCAATGAACAGCTGACATTGTATAACCTCCTTGCAAAGTTTATGCAAACAGATTGGGATGAATGTTCAACTAATTGGCCATCTGGAAGTGCCCTGGCTCTTAGAAACTGAGTGAGGCTCGGTTTCAATGATGACAGATGTAGGCGGCCGTCCAGAGGAACTGGTGGACTCATGATGCCTTCACACATGCACTCTTGACTGTACAATATAATGGTATATACATATAGAGAGGTGGGATGAAGTCTGTGTTTTTGTCTCTGTTTTAGAGCCTCTCACTACTACAGTAGAAGCAGCAGCAGTAACTACCAGAGGCCCAGACTCAGACTCTGAACCACCAGGGTAAGGACGGAACAACAGATGTCTGTCAAAATGCTGGTGTAGGGAAATCTAAGACTCATTTCCATTTGTGGTTTCCAGCTTCTGTTTACTTCTGCTGTGACAGTGCTGCTTTGTGTAAGGAGCAAAAGGCAAGCTAACCACTGAGCAGTCCATGAGAAGTATTTCACATGTTATGTTAATTCTGACACGGAACAGAAAACATTTGTTCTCCTAATTGCCAATTGGGAATTTCGGCAGGATACTTTCAGAGCAGGGGTGAAGAACCAATGATCCTCCAGATGTTGTTGGACTACAGTGGTGCAGTAGTTAGAGTGTTGGACCAGGGGCCAGGAAGACCAGGGTTCAAAACCCCACTGAGGGATGAAGCTCAGTGGATGTCCTTCAGCCAGTCACATCCCTCAGCTTAACCTACTTCACACCATTGTTTTGAAGATAAAATCGGGAGGCGAGAGCCATGGATTCCACCTTGAGCACCTTGGAGGAAAGTGGGATCTAAGGGAACAACTAAATTATTTCCAACATCCCTGATCATTGGGCAATGCTGGCCAATGAGAGCTGAAGTCTAACAATATCAGGAGGGCCATTGGTTTCTCCATATGTAGAAGGAAAGAGATCTGCAAGGAGGAGGGAGAAGGGGCATTGGAGATGTCAGTTCCCAGTCACGCAGCAGCAAAAGTAGGGAGTGGAGTTTATCCTTCCCCTTTATCACAATCCGAAGGGGTTTCTCTCTTGCGGAGGATCATTCAGAGCTCCCAAATTCTATCCAGCAAGGTCCCATTCACATTGCAGAGCTATGTGCCAAAGAACAAGCAGCAACCAACGCATCATGTCTCACATACTTCCTGCCTTTTTCATATCCCAGCCTTTTCATCACAATCCTGTTGCCGGTTATTTTTCTGGTGCTGGTGGTGCTCTTAGTAGCAGCCTTGCTGCTAATGCGGAGCCTAAAGAAGCAAAAAGGTGAGTGGATGTGTGCAGGAAGTCCCTGCATTTTATCTTTCCTGTCTCATCCTTTCTGTCTGCCCCTACCTTTCCATCTCCCATGCCTCTCCACTGTCGTTTCTGGTTTCCTCCATATTTTCAGGTCATTTGAACTTTGCGTGACCTCAGACTCCTGAAATCTGGTTACGCGTCTGTTAACAACTAACTGAAGACCTCCAGTGCAACCCTATATATGAGCTATCCTACTGGGCTGGCATTGGAGTGGGACGTCATTGTTTTCCGCACTTTTTTACTTGGTTGTAAATTGCGTTGGGACTTTTTTTTTTAGTGGGCAGCAATACACAAATTTAATAAGCTTAATCTAACAAAGTGGTGTGGAATGTTATGTTTTTAAACTGATTATACTGCTGTTCAAAGCCTGCCCTGGTCTCTACTACAATGAAGGGCCTGCTCAAAATATTTTAAATAAGTGAACAGACACTTCCTTTGGCTGAACTTGTATACAGTCATAACTACAGTTAATATATTTCTCCAGCTATAGCCACTCAATGCAGCTTTAATTGCCCCAATATCACACCCAGGAGCTACTTATGGAGGCCTTGAAAATTGTTTTATTGTGGCTACCTAAAAGTAGCAGTGCAGAAGAGCAGATAGCAGAAGTGAAACTTTCTGAAAAAATAAACTGGGTTATTTTCTAAAGCACGTTGCTGTTTAGGTGATGCTGTGCTGAGGCAGAGGAAGGAGGTGGAAGAACAGAACAGCCCCTTCATGCAAAACATCTGCCTCAACCCAGACCAATACAGAAGTTGGATTAGGAGGGCTGAGGAAATCTGTACCCACTTTCCACAGCCAGCTACCCACATCTCCTTTGAGAACATTTCCTTCCTGCTATGTGAAGATACTGTGGAGATGCTCATTCTTTCCAAATGCTTGTTTTCCTATTTCCCTGACCTGCTTTTAAAATGAAATGGAAAAAAAAATAGTTTTAAGACACTGATGTGACATTGCAGCCTATCTGCTATCTTTTCAGCTGCCAAAGCATGTGGGGATATCCTCCTGTCTACGGTAAGTGGCAAAAGGACTTCTCCCTTCCCTTCCCTTCCCTTCCCTTCCCTTCCCTTCCCTTCCCTTCCCTTCCCCTCCTCTCCTCACTTTTGCCTTCAACCTCAGCAGGCTTGCTGAACCAAATTCTTGCTCTTCCCAGAATGCTAAGAGTAGTTTCAGGGAGCATTCACTTTAAAAGGCCACTTCCCTTGACCCACGCTGATCCACTCCCAGGACATCCTGTTACAACTTCTGTGGAACTCGGTACAATAGGGTACCATTTTCTTTCAGGTAGCTTACTGTGGTGCTATACTCAGACAGTTCTTGCACCTGTTGTGAACCAAGATTGCAGGCGATAGCTCCGTGTGCGTTTTTTTGGCCACGTGCAAATGTCTTGGGGAAACATATCCTGAGATAATGCTACAGATACAAAGGGGTATGGGGGGGTCTGCTCAAAGATACCAAATGGAACACTGTGTTGTTTTTGGTTTAATTTCAGGCTCCTAATCGTGCAGAAGGCAATACATCTGGTAGAACTGAGAAGCCAAAACAGAGACCTCACCACAAGGCAGCTCCGCCCAGTTCCCACCAAGCAACAAACCACACAGAAGAAGTGGAATATGCAACCGTGATGAAAGCTTCGTCTTCTGCTTCTCAGCCAGAGGTTCTTCCCTTGAGTAGAAAATTTGCCAATGCTTTTTGCTCTTTTTATATCCCACCTTTGATCTCCACGCACGTTAAGGGGGCAGCGCCTAAAAACTTATATCGTTTTTGAGCACATCACAAAGGCAGTTTTGGAAAGACGACTGTTGCTTCGTGCAATTGATTTCCCAGTTAGTGATTCACAAAGAACCCTGGGGAAATGCATACGCCATAAATTATAGCCCAGACCACGACCACAACGACCACCACCTAGTAGTAGGTTTCTCAAAATATATGCCTCTGTTAGTAGTGCAAAATTGGTCTTAGTTCATTTTGGTCTGCATTAAGTCTGGCGATGCCAGGACTGCATAAATAGTAGGCAAGATCCACACGAGCTCTCTTAGGTCCAGCGCAGGAGCATGTCAGTTACTATGCATGTGCCCCAAAGTGTGACTGTCACTGCTTATATTGGACTTTAAAGACACATTCTGTTGTCCTTAAGTCACAATGTGGCGCTGCAGTCGACAGAGGTTTTTCCATGATGCAACAAACTCCCAAAAGAGTGGGCCAAAGCAAATGTGGGTGGATGTTGGTTGCAACACCACGCATTCCCCACCATCCCTTTGGGTCTTCCTTCTTCTGAAGCATCGCTGTTGGTCAAAGCTAGACATGGGATGCTGAGTGGCATGAACTTCCATGGCAATAGTACTCCCTCATGGCAGAGAGATCATGCATGTTTACTCTCTGTACCACAGCAGTGATGACTAGAGCTTCCAAGCCACTACTAGCAAATTCTGCCAAAGTACAATCTTGCAATATGTTATGCAAACCAAGAGTGTGTGCACTTGTGTTGCATATTATGGGATTATCCTGCGCTTCCTCCAAGGAACAGGATCTTTGACAGGCTCTGAGAGGCTTGTGGGTTGACTGTCGTTTGAGAGCCTGCCTCCCTGCTCTTTCCATTGGAATAGACTGTTTGCCAGTGTTGATGAGATTTTCCCTCCATGTTTGAGACATGGGGCTCCCTGTCAGATAGGCTATGCTGAGAGAAATTAGAACCCCCCCGTTTTCTGGGGTTTGGGTCTGACTCTCCCCAGTCCAAATAGAACACACTGCCCATTATAACAGGGATGGAGAACCTGTTTTAGCTGGAGGCCCACATTCCCTTCTGCACAAACTACTTGCGAATTTTACCTTGTTTCTGCACACCCCTTGCACACCTCCAACCAGGCAAGCAAGAGGCATAATCGGAGTTCACGGACATATGGCAGCCAGGCAAAAACACTCAATGAGAATGCAAAGCTTAGCCAGTAAGTGGTGTGGCCTGGGGACAGTCCCAAGGGCCAAAAAGAGAGGTGTGGAGGGCCACATTTGGCCCCTGGGGCTGAGGTTCTCCACCCCTGCACTACACAACGCTGCCTCCTCGCACCCTGCAATGCTTTCTCTTCTTGCAATAGTCCCTGCCTCCTTGACCAGTGCTGTTGTTGTTTTTTCACTTTCTAGGTTCCTACAGCTACAGAACAGGTATCATATGCCTCCTTAAGTTTTCAAGGTCCAGTTGAAGAAGCTACGTACGCCAATATGTAGTAGGCACCCAGTTCAAATCCTGATAACTATCGAGTACTGTGAACTGAAAAGGAAAAATGGTTGGGACCTTCCTCGTGGAACACTTTCCCTTTCTGCTTCTCTCCCCTTCCAATAATGGACTGTTGCAACACCTTGTCACTTACAGGGGTATGACTGGACTCCACACACTTGATCCCCAGTGGCCTGTGATGAGTTGTAGCTGATCCTTACCACTGCAGGAACCTCGGAAGAAAGCTACAGACAAGAAGCCATGTTAAACTAAGCCTGCCCGCCTGCCTCAAAGGAGCAGTCTAATAAGCTGTGATGTTTTCATAGGTCCCTGACAGGGATGGAACAAGCTCATGCCTGGTTTGCTCAAGTTCTTTCCTAAGGCCATTCCATTTTTGTGCTTTTTTTTTTAAACGACAGAAAATTATTTAAATGTTTTATCACAAGATAAAACACATTCTATTTCATTGCAAACATTTGGAATCCTAAAGTATACATTTAAAAAGCCTGTGCGTATTTTTTAAATGTATCTATAAACCAAGAACTAGATCGCAAATCTGAAGAAGTGCAAAATCTATGGGGCGATCTGGATGGGGTGGATCAGATCAAGTTGCATTGGAATCAGCAGAAATCAGACTTCTCAAGCATCCCTTGCTCTCCGCACCATTTCTCTTACATCAATGAGTTTTACGTTCTGCCATGTTATTGTACGACCGCTGCTGTGTGCTTTCCTGTGAGTCCATTGCTATCTGTAAGGTACCTTTGATATCAAGAGCCAATGAAGTATCACAAGCTGTTTGTAATCTGTGTGCATTTCTGCATGATTGTTACTGTGGTGCTTATTCGAAACTTCAGAACGGCTGTTGGGAAATTCTCCTGGGATGGGTGCAATTAAGAAACAGGACACAAGTGGTTTCTGATAGTGAGACAACCAATCAAAAGCTAAAGTCTGGAGTGGGGAGGAGGAGAGGATATGCTCAGCCTGGAGGCTCAGAACAGTTCTTCATTGGTGGGTGCTTGCTGGCTGGGGGATTGGCCTGTCTGCAGAGAAAGTGGAAGTATCCAGGCACTATTGCCCAAGAGGCTGTTTGGAAATATCCATGGCGGCGTGAGCTTGAATTTCCTTCTGTAATTGGGAACAGATACTCTGTTAAGTTGCTCCTTACTTGAAGAGGACGTTGGATCTTGTGAATGGTCCCAGGAGTCCTCATTAAAGCAGGCAAAACTGAATCAGCAGAATACCGAATCCTTAAAGAGCCAGGTCTCCCTGCTCAGGAAGCCCCTTCCTTGTGCGTATCATTTTAAAAGCATATTGCATTTCCATACTTCGCTTACTGAAAACATCCCTCTTGCTACTTAACATGGGAGGTACTAATGGTGCAATCTTTTATGTGTCTGCACCCAGAAATAAGTCCTATAGTCTTCACACTCTAGTACAGGGGTAGCCAATGTGGTACCCTCCATGTATTTCGCTGGACTACAACTCCCATCATCCCTCCCCATTGACCATGCTGCCTGAGGCTTATGGGAATTTGTAGTCCAACATCTGGAGGGCACCTGTGAGCTATCCCAGCCCTAAGCAAGTATGTCAGGACTGCAGGAGGCTGCTCCCACCAATGACAAGCTGGGCTTTGGATCTTCAGAACTCACTCCACTTGGTCCAGTAGCCTGTCCTGCAGTATTGAACTCACGCTCCCATTTCCCTAACCATCACAGAGAAAAACAAAATTAAGGCTATTACACACTTACCTGGGAGTGTGTTATTTAACTCAGTGTGGCTTAACATCTTAGTAGACATGTATAAGATTGCCCTGCACAGTTGCCTATTTCAGCCCGAGGTGGAAAATAAATTCTGAGTCCTCAAATGCATTAGAAGCATTACATCGGCTTCAAAGGTGGAAAGAAGCAACGATCCCGACTGGGGAAGAATGGCAAGCCAAACTGCTGGATTAGGCCGAAATGGCTAAACTAACCCAGAGACTCAGGAATCAAGAAGATAAAGACTTTTAAAAAGAATGGGAAAAATTTATAACCTATCTAGGAGACCATTGTAAACGAATTAAAACATTACAAGTGATTTTTAAAGTCCAGCTAAAGTAACAAAGTTTATGGATAACTAAGAAAAAAGAAAATTATAGAAACTGCATTGATGTGTAGACTTGGGGATGGGGGGGGGAGTCAAGAGATTAAGAAAATCTCAAAGGATTATATAAATTTGTAAAAATCAATAAAAATATTTTTAAAAAATTAACAAAGAAGCATTACACCAGCTTCTTTCCTCAGTCCTTGTTTTCTACAAGAAACAAAACCCCATTGGCCATTTTTGTAATCCAGGGGTTCCTCCAGATTACCTATTTATTGAGCACGCACCCCAATTTGTTTTCACAAAATTTGTGGGAAGATGATAGATCCACTGTTTATTGGGCTTTTGTTCTGATGGCAGACATGAGATGGCATCACATTAAGCAATTGTTACCGCACTTTTCAGTGTACTTTGCCATCGTTTTCTTACTGCAAAAACTTGGAGGGGGGGTATTTTGCTTTTTTGCTTCTTCTTTTTTGGAAGTGGGTTTTCCACAGAAGAGCACCAGATCCACTTTCATTGCACAACTAAAATTTGTTGGTACAAAACTGAATCTGGCCCACAAGATAGTGACAGTCTGGAAATGGCTCAGGAACATTCTTGTGTACAACACACTGAAGGAACGCTTAGTACTTCAAGCTGATTGGAGAAGGCAGACAGGAACCATATTGGCTGGGGCTGATGGGAATTGTAGTGTGGCAACATCTGGAGGGCCACAGGTTCCTCACCACTGAAAGAAGTAAAGACCTCTGGAAAACAATGCATGGTAGCAGGATACAGGCAGTGGTTGCATGCACCCAGCCTATACCTTCAAAGCACATTCAAAACACAGCCTTTCCCTCAAAGAATTCTGGGCACTATAGTTTACCCCTCACAAAGTTAGAATTCCCAGCAGCACTCAACAAAATACAATGCCCAGAATTCTTTGAGGGAATTGCTGTGCTTCAAACAGTATAATGTGCACATAGCCAATGTTTGCGTGGAGTACCCCCCAACCCCCCCAGTTGACCCCTGAGTGGAATAATGACTCAAGACAACGTGCTATGGGATTAAAATTGGCCACAACTTTATTAAATTGAACATATGTTCAAGCAGAGAGCTGTTGCAGGGGAGAGCAATGACAACCACTCGGCTTATGGCCAATGCCTCCCCTCAAGACCCCTTTAACGGGGAACCCTGTGATCACCGCTACAAGGGGGATGTGGGTCACCGCTTCACGCACCCCTCCATTTAGGAAGATAGACTAAAGGATTCCACCCAAGGCCTGAAACCTCCAGGTATCCAGCCCAGGGAGAATGAAGCCAGGAGCCGCATTGGGATCCAGGGGGGCTGCGTGCGACCACACAAAAGGCACCCCCCATTTGATGTGGGGAGCGGTCTTTGTATGTGGGCTGTCATTCATTGGTGCCAAGGCGTCCAAGAGAAGAGGAAGAGAAGAACTACAGCTTGGCTCTTTGTTCTCTCCCACAGCTATTCAAATGCGTGGTGATTTTTCAGCCAAGAAGAAAGGGATCACATGACAGGAGGGACTTGATATTTGCGTGTTCCTCTGTGCAACACATTGTTGCACTTTCAAGAGGACTGATTAAAATCAACAGGCTGCTCTCCAGCTGTATCGATAAGAGCTGGAAAATATTCCGCAGCTTCTCTGAATGGTGTGGGGTTCAATCTCCCATTATTTACCCACAGTTCACTTAAACGATCTGGATCGCTCTGTCACCAGGGTGGCTTTCAATATTCTGTTCCTTAAATATTAATCAAAACCATTAGCTCTCAAATGAATGGAAATTGCATGCATGCAGGGCTCATAAGTTCTTTGGAAGAGATGGGAAACCAAACATCAACAGTATATTTATATTTGGCCCATGCATACACTATTAGCTGGCATAATGACTTAATAGTAGGCGGCTTGTTGTACTAGAGTTAAAACAGCATCCAATATAATTCCTCTGAACGGAAAAGATAGGTAGGCAGATGGCAGCTCCCAAATATATTACAGTGGAATAACTGCTACTCACGTCCTTGTTTGGCTTGACAGCAAGCAATCGGCATGAACCCCACAAGGGAATTATATGAGCCAATTCTGGGTTTCAGGTTTCTCCTATACTTCTGACAAAGTAACCCTGACAAATTCAGAGTTTACATGTCTAAGAATTGCCACCTCTCACTGTGCTCCCAAAAGGTATAAATTTAATCCCTGGGAAACAGGCTGTGAAACTGACCATGGCCAAAGACGGAACAATAAATGTTGTGTGACTCAGGCCTGCAAACAGGTTCTGATGCAAAATAGAGCAATTAGGTTTTTCTGCCTCTGTTTTGGAAGACATTCCCCATCTGCAGAATGTTGCCATCATAACCCTCCCTGCCTGTAGACTCCCAACTGGGTACATTACTCCCAAGTGCTCCACAGACATTATATGAGAGAAGCTCACAAAACCCTGAAATGTAGGCCAGTTTTATCTACATACATGGATGGTTGAGTCAATAATGGCTCATTTAAGCCACTCATGCAGGGATGGGGGACCTGTGGCCCTCCAAGCTGTTGCTGGGACTACAGCATCTATCATCCCTAAATACCAAGGTTTCAGACACAAAATCTCTCCCAGTCTTACCTGGAGATGCAGTCCATTGAACTTGGACTTCTGCATGGAAGGCAGATGTTCTGCCACAAAGATACAAACTTTCCCCTAAAGAGAAAGCTAGCTACTTCTTTGACCTTCTCACTGTGGGGTGTGAAACACAGAGCAGTCAAATACAACGTTCCTAGAGTGGACATGTTTAGACATGAAGAGGGATGTTTGGCCAGCCAGCAGATAAACTTCCTGTTTCCTCCTGGGCTGGGACAAACTTCCTCTACATGTGACCAGAGGTGGGCATGACCTCACCTGTGCAGGTAACAAAAGCACAGGGCTGGCCAGAACACCTCTCT